TGAGAGTAGCCTTTGTTATCTGTGTGTATTTGAATTTTTCTGCACAGCACTGGGCAGGGAGCCCCAGGCTCTGCTCCTGGCTGTTGTTTAGTCTGGAGTGGGCAGCGTTTGGCTGCAGGGACACCAGGAATGTTCCCAGCCTTCCTCCTGCTCTCACACGGAGCTGGGATTTCCCCACGTGTGGGATTCCTTGGGGCAGAGACCTGGACAGGATTAAAGGCTTTAAACCTTGAGCACTGGGTGACAGGGCTGAGGGACAGGGACAAATCCACCCCCAGCCCTCAGGCCGTGTAACAACCATAAGGATTGGCAAATATAAATAATCAACCTGTGAGATGATTTGAAATACCCGTTAATTTTTTTTTTTTCACTTCTTTGGTTGTTTTTGGTCATTCTGTCAAAATATTTTTAAATACAAGGTTGCTACACCTACAGCAGCAGTTGCTCCAGGTGACCCTGCTCTGCCCTGGCTGCTGTCAGCAGCTTTGAGATATCTCAGTGTTTGTGTCCAGGAGGGTTAATAAGTGAATTTCTCAGAGATTTGGGCATTTCCAGGGCGTTTGAATTTCTCTTTGACAGCATCAAACCCACCATTGTTGCTGAAATGTGGCTGGAGCCGAGCTCTGGATAAAGGATGCCCTTTGCACCTTGCACACCAAGGCTGTGCACGAAGAACTCTGCCCTGCTGGGCATCTCCAGGGTGGCTGGGACACAAAATAAATAATCTGAATTCCTTGGTTTGGCCAGAATCATCTGGGTTGGGAGTTTAGCACCTAAACCATGGCCGTGGGTTCTGTCCCTCTGCAAAGTGGCACTTCAGGATCAGGCCAGACATTGGTTGTGGAGCCTTGGGAGCTGCCCATGAGCTGCCAAAAATTCACTTTTCTTCCAGGGAAACCCACCAAACATTCCCATTTTGCCCTCATTTTAGGGGTGGGGGTTTGCTCACACTGAGAGTACAGCTGATAGGGGAAAACCAGATCATTTAGCTTTCAAAACCTTCCAAGAAATCAGACCAAAAAAAAAAAAAAAAAATAAAATCCTTGGGAAAGACAGGAATTGTAAATGAGCCACTTTTATCTCCTAAAAAAATGGCAGAAAGAGGCATTTCCCTCCTGTGAAATTTTACCAGCAAGTTCTGTGCCTAAGAGTGTTGTTTGAAAGGAAATGTTGCTACATGGCTATTGAACACATTTTTAATAATAAACTGTGGTGAAGACAGAACTAGTTAATATCCTTTGAAGGAAACAGGAGCTTTTTGTGGCAAGGAACCATTTATTTTGGATTATATCATAAAAGGTTTTTGACTGCAGTGAAGAGTCTGGGAAATGGGATTTTCCTTCAGAAGTCGAAGTTTATTTTCTGTTACAGCCCATGTGGGCAGCAAATTCCTCTGTCTTCCCTTTCTTTGTTATTCTCTGTTCTTTTCGCTGCCAAACGTTGAAGTTTCCTTTTTCAAATTTCGAAATCGAAAAATTTCGATTTTTCATGGGAAACATTTTGAAATATTTCCTTTTCCTGTATTTAATGCTGCCCTCATTGGAGGGGGTGAACAATATCCATCCTTGGGCTGTGTCAGGGCTGGTGGGAAGAGGTTAACAAGCCCCTTGGAAATGTGATTTTCTCTCCCCCCACCTCAGGAATTGGGTTTAAGACTTTCACAGGGAAGAATTTAATGTGTTTTCATCAAGCCAGCGTTTCTTTTTCCTGTTCCAGTTTTGCTCTGGGGGTTGTTTGGGCTGGTCCAGCCCTGCAGGAGCAGTCGGGGTCAGTGCTGGGGCACGGGAGGTTCAAGTGATGCTGCAGCCAAGTGCTGGCATCAGAACCAGAAAATCAGGGAATCATTAGGGGTGGAAAAGCTCTCCCAGCTCATTGAATCCAAACATGAAGCCAGCATTTCCAAGCCCACCACTGAGCCATGTCCCCAAGTGCCACATCTCCATCCCACACCAGGGATGGTGACCCCACCACTGCCCTGGGCAGCCTCCTCCAGTGCCTGGCCTCCCTTTTTGGTGAGGAAATTCCTTCTCATTTCTAATCTGAACCTCCCCAGGCACAACTGGAGGCTCTTTCATCTCATCCTGAGGTGGAACTGCTGCCTTGAGCAGTTGTAGAGGTGGCACCTTCTTCAGCACCAGTCATTCAGTATTTACTGTGGGCTGGTTTTTTGTTTTTTTGGGTTTTTTTTGCTAAAAAAAAGTAGATTGAAGCTTCTGCTTAGTGTCACAGATAGGCTGGAAGTTTTGCTTATCAAAACTGGGTTCTGGAGATGTCTCTCAGCATCACTCCAAACCAGGCTTGGTTTTTTCCCCCTCAATTATTCTTAAAACTTGGCTTTTGAGTCAAGTGCTTGTGGCTGTCTCCGTGTGCCAGATTGCAGGGAGGGCTCTTAGCTGAGCTTTAGCTCGAAGGCTCAGGGACCAGCAAGGCTCCAGGGGTTGTTTACACAGAAAATTCATGTTTTTATGGGTGCTGGGGAGCAGATGTACAGTCCCATCTGCTGAGCCACCAGCAGAACCTTCTGCAGAATGAAGCCACATTTAGACTTTGTGCTGTGTGTGGTGATTCACTGGGGTTTTCCTTATGGCAGATCCCAAGGGATTGCAGTACAAACCCTCTGCACTGGGGCTTTGAGCCTCGGGATGGAGCCCTGTGCTGTTATTGTGGTGTGTGCAGAGCCTGTGGGGACACCTGAACCTGCCATGGGTGGCTTCGGTCTTCCAGTCCCTGAGCTGGGGACTGCTCTCTTGAATCACCTGCTTTTCTCAGATTTGCAGTGTCCAAAAGCTCCGTTTCTGTGTCAGATGGGGCTGAAACGAGCCCGTGGCTTTGCACAAGTGACCGGGGGCCCATAAACACACGCCGTGGTTTTGTCCGGGAAACAAAGCTAAAAATAGCAACGATTTATAAAAACACAGTGGAAAATACCAGTTTTCTGGTGGATGGAACAGGTACCATCCAATTTTGTGTGCTATTAAGCTGCCCCCACATTTGGAGCTCCTGTGCAGATGATTTTAAGGCGGTGTCATCTCCCCAAGCCAACGTCTGCTCTGGCAAACGGAGGGATTTTATTTTGACAGCCAGACACTTGCTTGGCAGTTCCTATTGAACAGAACCGATCTCGAGGCTTCCAATCATTCTTTTCCTTTAAAAAAAAAGCCTTTTAAGTGTATTTGTGTTTGGGGGAGAAAGTCAATCCTGTGTGAGCTGGGCTGTTGAATTTTGGAGCTGGGGATTGGGGTGAAGGGGGCTCCTGGTTCCTGCATCCCATGCAGCCTGCTGGGCTGGTTCTGCTGCTTATTTCTGCTTTCAGAGCATACCAGGATTGCTGGTGCTTCCTGCAAAGCACTCACAGACCTTGGCCCCAGAGGCTTGGAGAGAGGAGTGCTTTGCATGTTGGAACAAAAGGAGCTCAGAAATTTGGCCTGATCCAGTTAAAAGCCATCAAATCGCCTGATTTCAGCCCAGGATTCATTAAGTAACCATTGAGTCAGCACATCCCTCCTCAGCACCTTTGGGTGCAAGTCCTGGCCATGGAAATTCCCATTTCCCATCCCTCCTCCCGGTGCCATCATGAAATCCATGTCTTATTCAAGCTGCTGTTGTTGCTTTCTGCTTTCTTGAAAAGAAAACCCCAAAGAATGTTAAATTCTGCCTGTGCCTTGGCAGCTCGAGCACATGGACAGATTGTGCTTCAAAAAAATGGCAAAGTTTCAAAATATTGTGTTCTGTGAAGAAGAGACAAGGAAAATAAACTCCCCAAAGTGCAGATTTAATTTCCCCAGGAGGAAAGGCTTTTAATGTTTATTTGGGTTTGGTGTTTTGTTCCCTGATTCTGCTGACACCTGTCCCGGGTCCAGTTCACATCAGCTTCATTTCTCCCTCATTTTAGGTTCATTTTCTCCCTCCCAGAGCAGGTTCCTGATGCTCAGGGACAGCACATGGGGCGGTGCAAGCAAAGCCATGCAGGATAAAATGGGAAAAAAAGGGAATAACAGAGCAAATTTGTGCCTGCTCCTTGTTTGATTTAGGTTGTGCCAGCGTGACTGCAGCAGGTGAAGGGGATGAGGGTTCATAGGGACAGTTCAGCCCTAAAAGCAGCAATTCCCCCATAGATAATTCGATGGGGTTTGGTGTCTTCTTCTCCACGTGCAAAAAATCAGTTTGAAGATGCTTTTCCTGTGCCTGTCTCGTTTCCTCAGGGATGGAGACAGGAGCACAGAGGTTGAGGATGGCAGCTTGGAAAATGCCAGAGGAGCAGGGATTTTGTTTGCCTGCACTGCCAGACCTGTGTTTTTGGGATTCCCTTTTTTGGGGAATCCAGAGCAGCTCTCCCCATTTCACATCCCCCAGGTCTGAGGTGCACTTGGCACAGATGGGCAGGGAAGGGAATCTGGAGCATCCATCCTTCTGCCTTCTGGCTACAGCTCAGAAACTGGAAGGAAAAGGGTCAAAGAGCAGCTCTGCTCACTGCAGCAATTCCTCCTCTGGTTTTTAGAATGGTGTTTTTGCTTCCTTACACACCAGCTTTTACTTTTTGGGAAAACTCAGAGTTGTTCTTTGTGCTCTCCATGACCTTGCTGCTTTTGTTTTGCTTTTCCTGTGTGAGCTTGGGAGCTCCTGGGAGCAGAGAATTGGCTTTTTTTTTTTTTTTTTTTTTTTTTTCAGTTTTTCTTCCCTGTGTACATTCACAGCTCTGTTGATTTCTGATCCCAGCAGTGAGTGTGCACAGAGCTTTCCAATAAATGCTGTTCCCACGAGGTGTCAGCCGGGTTCTTGCAGCCTGCCCCATCCTGGAGTGACTTTGTCAAAAGGAGAGAGCAAAAATCCCAGCTTTAGAGCAGACAAGGAAAAAAAATACTAAAAAACCCATCAAAAAAACCACTAAAAATGAAAAAAAAAACCAAACCCAACCAAAACAAAACTCCAAACCCAAACAAAAAAATCTTAAAAAAAAACAAGAACAAACCCGAACAAAACAAAAAAACCCCCAAAAACAACAACAACAAAAAAACCCCAAAAACCAAAACCTTGAAAAAATTGCTAATCTGAATTGAAGAATTGATTCATAAAGGTCATTTTCCATTCTGGGTGCCTGTCCTTTGTTCCAGCACCCCTCTGGCACTGGGATGCATCTATTGATGTGGCAAAAGGAAAAACAAATTCAGACATGTCTAGGTGAAACTTCAGAGAGAGGGTTGGGAATAGAGAATAAAACTCGTGCATAAAATAAAGAGTAATTGATAAAAATGGTTCGATTTAAAATGCTCAGTGCCTAAATCAGATGCTTGTGCTTTTTTTTGGGGGGGGGAGATGGACCAGGGATTTCATTACCCAGCCAAGCAGCCAGATGTTTACCTTGGGGTTTGGTGGCATGGCTGATGTTTCCAGGTTATTTTCTCCATGAATTCGAGCCCCCGTGCTGAAATGGGGCTGGATCTGTGCAGTCACAAAAAGCTTCTTGTGTTTCTCTGCTCTGCCTGGCTCCTGTGGCTGCTGGTTTGGACCCCCTTTCCAGGAGAGCTGCAGCTCAGCTGCCTCAGATCTTGAGCTGCATCCAGCTCAGAAAAGCTTGGCTGGTCAGTGTGAATAGAAACAAATGGCTTTGAAGCCTGCAAACTTGAATTCTGCTTTATTTTTGCTGGGTTTGCATAACTTTTAATGACCGGGAGATGAAACGTGCAGTTAAACAGAGTCAGAATCTGCCACTTTCAGATGCAATTTTAAGAAGATGTTTCATCCTGCCAGGGTCTGAAGTTATGTGTCTGGAATGGTTTTAAATCTGAGAAATGTTTGAAGGGATCCTGTGTGGGTAGGAGGAGAAATGCCTTTCCCTTTGCATGTTCTCGTGGCCTGCCTTTGCCAGAGCTCTTGCCTGTTTTCTGCACCAAGTTGGCAGCCAGAGCTTGCAGGTTGAAATGAAACCTTGCTGAACAAAGGCACTTTATGTTTGAACTCTGTGCTCTGAGTCTGCCCCACCAGCCTGGCTGGGCATTTCTGTTAAATAAGGTCAACAAATATAGACAAAGCTGTGCTTTGCAAATTAACCCCAAACAAATCATAACAACAACAACAACAACAAAAAAGTGCCTTTCTTTAACTCTGCCTCTTTCTTGTTTCACAGGCAAGAAGAGAAACCCTGGGCTGAAAATTCCTAAAGAAGCATTTGAGCAACCACAGACGAGCTCCACGTAAGTCTGCAAGCCCTGGGGCAGAATGAAAAGCAAACCACGAAGCCCCAGCTGCCTTCCAGCCCTGGCTGGTGCCTGGCAGTGCCCCAGGCCAGCCTGGATGTGGCTCTGAGCACCCTGGCATAGTGGAAGGGGTCCCTGCCCATGCCAGGAGTGCAATTAAATTGTCTTTGAGGTCCCTTCCAACCCAAACCATTCTGGGATTCTGTGGTAATTTCACAACCCTTGCATTTCCCAGGGGGTCTCAGCCCATCTCCCTTTACCCATCTGTGCTGATCAATGATGCAGGAAGAGAGAAAAACCAGAATGGGCCCCCAGTTTCCACTTTGGCCACCAGTTTGAGTAACTGGGATTTGGTCAAGGCATGAAAACTCAGCCCTTTCCCTGCTACCCAGCCTTGCAGAAGGAATCCCTCGGTTTTTAAGGCACTTTGTGCAACTCCAGCCTGCTTGGCTTTCTTTGCTTCTGTGAGGATTGAGTGTTTTTAGCCTGTTAACCTGTGCTGTGTGACTGAGGTGATGATTTATAGCAGGTTTAGATGTTTCCTGCCCATTTAAGCCATTTTTCATACAGCCTGGCAGAGATCTGGTGTTTTCCACCTGCCTTGATTTCCTCAGGGTTCCTGCAGGGCCAGGCTGGGTGTGAGAAATGCCAATTCCAGTCACTTTTTTTCCTGAGCCCTTTTTGGGGTGACTTTGTGTTGACCCTGCAGAGGACTCAGGGCTGCAGGGGCTGCTGGCCTGAAGGTGTGAGGGGATGGTTTGGGGCTTGGATTTTACTCACTGAGGGAAAATTGATCTTTGTAGGGAATATTTCAAACCTTTTCCCTTTTTCCTTCCGTGCAGGCCACCCAGAGATCTGGACTCCAAAGCCTGCATCTCTATTGGTGAGGAGGTAAGACTGAGAGAGCTCTGACTGGGATTGCTTCACTTCACCCCCCACAAAAAAAAAGGGCAGAAAATTAAATACCAGCTATTACAAAGAATGCAGCCCATTTTACCTGAAACAGAAAGCAGTTGCTGGAGGAATAAAAGCTGAGAAGATCCAACCTTGGTGCTGGTGAGCTCTGGGGGCTCGTGAGCCACATCCAGCCATAAATATTGAGGTGTTTGTGCTCCTGCAGCCAGGGCTGTGTGGCTGGGACCCCAGGGTGGCCCCATGGCCAGCTGGAGCTGCTGGCTGGCACTGCCCTGCTGAACGTGCCCCCAGCACTCACCCTTTGCCTCCCATGACACGTGGGCTCCCTTCATATTTTCCACCATGGAAATTCCTTCCTTGCTGCACTAAGGTGCAGCTAATCCCCTGGAAATAACCATTATAAAGCAAGGGGGGTTGCTAACAGAGTTGTTTTACTCTCCTCTGCAGTTCCTTTGCTGGTTTAAAGCCTTCACCCAGAATATTTCTCAGGAGCAGAACTCAGGGTAGATGTTCCTGCCCTGGAAGCAAATCCTTCTGACAGCATGGAAACCTGGATGAAAAAAAAAAATATCAGGGAAAAAGACAAACCCCAGGAGAGTTATTTTGATAGGAGAAAAACACAGAGCAGAATTCAAAAAAGCACTTTAAAGCTGGACAATAAATGTATGAGGTGCAAAAGATTGGTGTCAGTGAGGTAATTTATGCAGTGAAATGCTAATCCAATAGTGGTTTAAAATGCCTGATTTTGGAGGCTTTCCTTTCATTTTGGATTTTGTATTTCCCCTGGCTTGGAGCAGGGGCTGGGAGGTGGAAGCAGGGTGAGATACAAAATGATGCAGCACAGAGAAAATGCCTGCTGTGAGAAAATCCCTGTACCTGCAGTGCCAGGGGTGAGGGAAGGTTCCAGAGGTGTGAGGTCAGGCTGGGCCATGCCAAGGGAACCACACTGAGCCCCCAGAGCTCTCCAGGCACTCATCTGTGGTGCCTCCCTGGCACTGGCAGCCTTGGCTTGCATTTCCCATGGATGTGGGAGCTGTTTGTCCTGCCAGGCTCCTTTGGGATGGGCACAGCATCCCCAAACCCCCTGGTCCCAAAGGGAACACTTTCCCCTCCTCTGCCTCTAAACTCTGCTGCTGCTCTGGGAACACTCACAGAGCATTTTTGGAGAGGCCCCTGGTGATGTCTAGAGGAGATGGAACAGAGGCCAGGCAGAATTAAGAGGGATAAAATGGATATTTATTGAGGGACCTTTAAAAGCCACACCCTGGCAGTGCCAGTGCCACAGTCGTGGATGGCTCCAAGATGGAAACAAAAGAGAGCTTGGTCACAAAATCTCACATTTTTATAGGTTTTGGTCATTTGCATACAACTGTCCAATTAATAGCCTCAAATTATGAACTTTCATCCTCCTTGCTTGCTTGCCCACCTTCCTCTTTTCACATTGTTTATGCTCAGGGCCTGAAGTTTGAAGGAATTGTCCTTGAGTCCCCAGCTGGAATAGAACTGTTGTGTCTTCACCACCCAAACACGACAGAAAAGCACACCCAAGCAGAACAGAAAAACTTCAAACTGAAGGCATCACTGGTGTCAGGCACTCAGAGGTGCCTAAATCTCTGCTGGGACTCCAAAACGTTAGCCAGGGCTCCTTGTGCACATTCCCAGAGTGTCTCCCTGCTCTCTGTGGCTCTTTGCAGGCTGCAGGGATTTTTTTGCTGTGCCAGCAAAAAGCAGTGTGGGATTATTCCCTGGGAATCAGGGAATTCATCCTCACCCACTGCAGGGTGATTGACTGATGGAATTGTGCTTGCATTAAGCAGAGAGGCTGGGTTTAGTGGCAGAGGCAGATTTGAAACACAAAATAAAAAAAGTTATTATTACTATTATTATTATTATTATTATTAGAGTGTCTGCATGATATCATGGCAGAAAGGAGAAGGGCAGGTATGCAGGGTCCATACAAATTGATCCCTTGTGTAAAGGTAGGAGAAAATGATGATGGACAAAATAAATCCTCCCTGATTTGAAAATAGGGCACATTCAGCTGGTATTTGGCCCATGTGCAGGTCTGGAGAAATAAGCTTTAAAAAACCTGGAGATGTTTCCCTGATTGTTTGGGGAAAGAGGAGGATGGAAAGAGAATAAAATGAAGCAAGGTGGAAGGTGACTCCTTGTGGAGAAGCTGCTGTGGTGTTTTCTGTCCCAGCCCTCAGAGGATGGAGAGGCTGAAGGTGGCTGGGAGGGATGAGACCAGAGCATGGAGTGACAGGACAAGGGGAAATGGATTCAAAAGGAAAAAGGGTAGAGTTGGATTGATATTAGGAGGAATTTGTTCCCTGTGAGGGTGGGGAGCCCTGGCACAGCTGTGGCTGCCCCTGGATCCCTGGCAGTGCCCAAGGCCAGGTTGGACATTGGGGCTGGGAACAGCCTGGGACAGTGGGAGGTGTCCCTGCCATGGCAGGAGGATGAAATGAGAGGATCTTTAAGGTCCCTCCCACACAAACCATCCCATGATGGCAGCTCAGAGGGCTCAGTGATGCCGTGATCCATGATTCCCTGACAGTGGGTGTGGGTGGCTGTCAGCCAGAGCATCCCATGGCAGGAATGTCCCATTGTGCCTGCCCTGCTCGGGATGCTCCTTACACAGCCTGGGCAGGGAGGATGGGCCAGGTGGTGATTTTGTGACACTGCCCCACCATCCCATCCCATCCCATCCCATCCCATCCCATCCCATCCCATCCCATCCCATCCCATCCCANCCCATCCCATCCCATCCCATCCCATCCCATCCCATCCCATCCCATCCCATCCCATCCCATCCCATCCCATTATCCCATCAGAGCTCTGTGATCGCCGCGGTGCCGGTGCCTGATCCTCCCTGCAGCTGCCAGGGCTGGGCAGGATGTGCTGCACTTTGGGGACACAGAACAAACCCCCAGGGACCACTGATGGCTTTTATCCCCCAGAACTTCGAGGTGAAGGCCGATGACCTGGAGCCCATCTCGGAGCTGGGCCGAGGTGCGTACGGGGTGGTGGAGAAGATGCGGCACGTGCCCAGCGGGCAGATCATGGCAGTGAAGGTAGAGTGAGCCTGGGGAGGGGGGTCCTGGCCTTTCTGGGGTGCTGGGCACGCTTGGAATTCCCCCTTGTTCCTTCCCTGCCCTCTGCTGTTTTCCTCATGGAAATCCTCTTTCCACACAGGCCCCCGAGGGAGATTTGGGTTATTTAGCCAAGAAAAAGGGGGGGTTTTTTAAAAGTGAATTGTAGTGCATCAGTCACGTTGTTCACTTTGTCCACAATATTCCTGCTTGCCTAGGATTCAAACCATCATTTTTTATTATACCATTATAATGCACCAATTATTTATTTATATTATTTTATTATACCATTATTATATGCCAGTTATTTATTTTACCACCATTTTTAATTTTTACCATCATTTCTATGCCACTTTCCCTCCTCTCCCTTTAAACTCTGATGCTGGTTTGAGGACAACGCTCACATATGCATATATGCACACTCCACATACATATAAATTCACTTTTCTTTTTCCTCCTGTAGCCCCTCAGATTCACTTCATAATTATAAAGAACAATAAATCGAGTTGCACAAGAGACTCTTCTTCATCTGGGACTTTTTCAGTCTCCTTGGAACAGGAAGTTTTTGGTGGGATTTTCACGTTCTGCCTGCCGCAGTGGGATCTTGACTCATGGCAGGCTTGTAGATATTATCATGCAAAGTTTTCATAACAACAGCTTAGACTCATAAATTTGGAGATTAGGGAAATGGTCATGGGAAAAACTGTAGTTTGGGAAGGACCAGTTTTTGCTTGGCTGAATTTTAGTTTCCTTTCAGAGTAAAAGATCTGGGAGCTCTGAGCAAGCTCTTTGCTCCTCAGTCGTGGGTAGATTTTGCTGTGGGTGCTGGCTGGGCCAGGTCCCAGACCCTCTGTGCTCTGCATTTGGTCTTTTTGTTTGCTTTGGTGTTCACCAAACTGCCAAAGACCTTCCTGAGGGAGATGGAAGATCCCAGCTGGGCATGGCAGGAGCAGTCAGGCTCTCTGTAATGCTGAGCATTTTAATTCTGTATCTACTGACCTCGAGGTGCTTTGGCCAAGGAGCCTGGAGGATGTGTGTGAGCTGTGTCTGCCCTGTTGTGCTGTTTGGCAGCCAAGGGTCTCCAGGTATTTCACATCAAGGATATTTCCTCCTGGGAGACTGGGAAATGCCCATTTTCCAAAGCCATGGGGAGCCCGTGGGCTCTGGTGCAGGGCTGGAGCCTCTCTTGTGCCCAAAACTTGCTGATGTAACAGATTCCACTGGATCCAAAAGTCCCAGCTTCCCACCAGCCTGAAATTTGATTTCCTGCTCCTTTCTGGTGCCTGTAGAGAGGCTGAGCTGGAGCAGAGGCTGGACAGAGTGAAAGGAATAAAGCAGGGATTGATGAAAAGCCTTCCAAGGATTCACCTTGGGCAGTGCAGAGCCCAAGGTGGGCTCAGAGTCCCGAGTTTCACACTTGGATCACTTTGGGTCCATTCCCACCTTGGCCTTCATTGTCCAATCCCAGCTCCAGGCTCTGCAGTCCCATCCTCCCACATTCTCTCCTCCACTCGCTGCTCTTTGCACTTTTTGGGGCTGGAGCTGCAGCGTGTCCTTGGTTGTGGGGCTGGCAAAGGATTGTTCTGTGTGCCTGAGCTGGGAGGAGAGCTGGGAACACTTTGTGTGGAGTTCAGAGTGACATCCTAGAGCAGGGCACAGGCTGGGAAATAGGAAAGATCAAACTTAAGGCATCATTTCTCCTGTCCCAAGCCACTTCTTTCCTCTTGCTCTTGCATCAAGAGTGGTGTTTGCAGGCAAGAGCAAAACCACGAGTGGTGAGGGGACCCCTGGGTGCTCCTGCCGTGGGTGCTGGGCTGGGGATGTGCCTGTGACAAAGGTGGTGACAGAGGGGTGGCAGAGGGGTGACAGAGGGGTGACAGAGGGGTGGCAGGGCCCTGGGGCTGCCCCCCCTCACCTGCTGTGTCTTGCAGCGGATCCGAGCCACAGTGAACAGCCAGGAGCAGAAGAGGCTGCTGATGGACCTGGATATCTCCATGAGGACAGTGGATTGTCCCTTCACTGTCACCTTCTACGGGGCACTTTTCCGAGAGGTGAGGCTCTGTGGGGCTGAATTCCCACTCCTGAATTCCCTCCAGGTGCCAGGGGTTTAATCTCCACCTGGACACAGGTGAGATTTGCTCAGTCCTGGCCTAAGGATGTGTCACTCACTGTGGGACAGCCACCAGCTCACAGCCTGGTCCCAGAGCTTTACAATTGCCCTGGCTTGGTTTCATCCATGTGGAAAGCTCTGAAAAGCAGGATTTATTGAAGAGCTTTAAGCACAGCTCTGCTGAGCTGAACTTTGCCTGGACAGGCATTGGGAGCCTCAGTTCCTGATAACTCTGAGCTCCTAAATCACTGTGGCTCTGCTTTGGGAAAAGTACACCCTAAATGGTAGGGAATGTGAACAACACTGAATTCCAGAGCTGGGAAAAGAAAGGCCAGGACAGCTTTGCTGAATGGGTTTTAAAAAACAGGGAAGGGAAGGGAAAGGAAGGGAAGGGAAGGGAAAAGGGAAAAAGGCAGGAGAGGAGAGGCAAGGCGAGGCAGGAAGGAAGGAGGGTGCTTTGTTCCAATTAATGGGTATGTGCTTGCTTTACTCTGCAGGGAGATGTGTGGATTTGCATGGAGCTCATGGATACCTCACTGGACAAATTCTACAAACATGTCATTGACAAAGGCCTGACGATTCCCGAGGACATCCTGGGGAAAATTGCAGTCTCTGTGAGTAGCACAGGGTGAGGAGGGGAGGCAAAGGGGTTTCTCCTCTAAGCCAAGTCCTACCTGAGCCAGGCTCCCTGCTCTGTGTGCACCAGGAAGAGGCTGGTCCATGTGGCCAGCCCGTGTGGCCATTCCCACAGCTGGCCTCACGTGTCTGGGCTGAAGTGATGTTATTTAGAAGCCATGAATGTGCCCATCCATGCACATGGTGGCCCAGTGTGAGATGTGGGGAGGCTCCTGCAGCTCCTTTCCCTTCTCATCGGGCTCCTGGAGCCCCCAGGGAGATCCCTGGGTACCCACCAACACCCCAGGCTGCTGGCAGGGTGCAGGACTCATGGGGGATGTGCTTTTCCTGCCCTCCAGGCAGGTCTGGGGGTGAGGCCAGCTATCCTTTCCTCCTCCTCGTGGTGCTGCCGGCTGTGATTGACTCTGGGTTTGTCGTTTCAGATTGTGAAAGCGCTAGAACATCTCCACAGTAAGCTCTCCGTGATCCACCGAGGTGAGTGCCAGGCACACACTGCCCTGCTCTCAGCCTGGCAAGGGCTCCCAAAACACCCCAAATAAAGTGAGCCTTTGGCAGCACAAACACTCCCCAGCTCCTCATGACTTGTAGCAAAACCCAGGCAGAGGAGATGGCTGCTGTTTGCTCCTTAAAACCTGCCACTGCTCCCTGAAGTGGGGGAGAAGGGGCTGGCAGGGGAAAGGCTGTTTCCCCTGGGGTTACTTTCCCCTAAACCCACCCTCTGCTTCATCTCCTGGGTGAAATTCAGCCAGGCTTTTCCCCTCGGGAAGCTTAGGAGCTGCCTTTGCCCAGCTTGGTGCCCCAGCTCTGTGCTGATGTGCAGTGGGAGGGAGCTCCCTGCCAGCCTCATCCTCCTGCACTGCTCCAGCCATCCCCACCCCTTCCAGGACCTTCCCTGAGCAGTGCAGCAGAGCAGCCTGACACCTAAACCAGCCTCAAATGAAATCATAAATCACCTCCTTAAACTCTTCTGACATTTTCCTCTCTGGAGCATCTCAAACCTGAGCGAGAGCACACTCAGAAACAAACCTGCAGTTGCTGCTTGACACCTTTATTTTTAAAGGGTCATTTTCAATTTGTTATGAGGAGAAAAGAGCCTTCCCTGGAGTGTGTGAGTGCCTGGGAAGCAGCAGAGTTCAGCTGCAGCAGGCAGAGCCACTGGCTGGATTCTTCTTGTGGCTGGGGTTTGAGTTTCTGCCTTCTGTATCACTCACAGGAGGTGGAAAGCCCTTCCTGGCTGCTGGATTCCAGTGTGTGATTCCCACTGAAAATTGTCTTATTTCAGTGTAGCAACAGATGGGTGAGGATTTTGGATACCTGAGGCTTTTGATTGCAGAATGCTGATTAGAGAGCAGATGTTAACGAGCTGTAAACCCACAGTTCTAATAAGCAGGACTCAAAGACAGCTCCTGGCACCCTTCAAAGGGTGTTTCAGCTTTTCTATTTAATTCTATTTAATCTTCAGCACTTCTATTGAGTCCTTTATCATGTGGAGACAGAGGATCTTCAGGAAGTGACCTCTTGTTTCTGGGTGGCAGCAGGGAAAGGATTTCTCCCTTTGGAGCATCCCAGGGAAAGCAGGGTCAGCTGTGCTGAAATTCCATTTGGGATTAGCCCCACAGAGAATTGCCTGCTCTGCAGGAAAGCTCCTCCTTGCTCTCCTGGGTATCATTCCTGCCATTTCTGGGTGCCTTAATCTCCCTTTTTGTCGGGGATTGTAGCTGCCTGATGAACACAGCAGGGATTTGTAAAGCCACGATGGGAGGAGATAAATCTGGCAGGAATAGACAGAGGAGACTCTGGCCTGACTCCAGTGGGGTGTGGAGCTCCCACTCTCCTGCTGCTGCTCATGCTGCAGTCAGCCTTTGTATCTGCAGTGCTTTGGGTTTGTTAATTTGAGATTTTTCAGCTAATGTACCAATTTGTGTGGTGGATTTTAGTGTTGGCTAAATTGCTAGTGTACTTATTAGGATTATTTATTCATTTTTTTTGTTGTGAGATAGGATTAGGATGAAGGCAAAGTAGGCTCAAACTTTAAAGGGTATAAAATAAAATCTTTATTAACAGAGCTAAAAGAAAAATAAGAATTAGAGTAAAACTTTTAGAATACTTTCCATCTTATATCTTTTTTTCTTTCTCACTGATAACCTATAGAAACAATTCAGTCAGTTTATTACTTTTAGAGCAGTCTTTCTTTAGTTTACTTAGGGAGAGGAGTTTCTTTTGTTATGCTATGGAGACTTTTTTTGTAAGAAAATAGTTCATGTGGCTTTTAATTTTTACAAATAGTATATTTGTAATTTTTTTTTGTAAAACTTTTTTTGTGTTTCTAAAATATTTTACAAGTAGCATATGGAAATATATAATTGTGAAGTCCATGTCTTTCATTAGATTAGCATTCTTATTTTTAAAGCCAGCCAACAGTTAGTTTTGTTAGACATAAAGAAAGCTGTTAGCAGCTTCTCTAAGAACATTACTTAGCTACACTCATTCCCTCCTCACCAAAACTCCATTAATACAAAACCAGCACACTGTCCTTAAAATCAGAGGCCGTGTCTGGACCTTTGATCCTTGTCTCACTTTGCTGCTCTCTCCTTCCCCTGCAGCCCTTTCACCTTTTCCTGCCCCACATCCTTCCCCCATGGGAAGGAAAAAAAAAAAACAAAACAACCCCATGGGTTTTTCCTTTTGCTGGCATGATCCCAGACCCACGGGGCCTTGCCCATGGGATCAGCCCCAGCCCTGCTCCCTGTCAGCTCCCCTTTCCTGAGCTGTGGGATGTGATGGGTGTCAGGAAAATGAATCCACAAACACCAGAGGTTCATGTCCAAAAAGGAGACAGAGGAGTCCTGTAACTTTATTGGAATAAAGGGAGAGGCCATGGGGATTTCCCTGGGATCTCTCAATTTTTTTGAGGACTCACCTCCCTTTTTATCCCCATTTCCCTCTCTCTTTCCCCATTGTAGGGGTACCTGAGAGACACAGACTGCCCAAACCCCTGATACCTGAGATTCCCCTCTGATGTACAGCCCTCCCTTTGCATTTTTAATTCTTATAGAATTCATAGTTTTCCCCCGTTGCTTCTTTCATCTTTCGATATCCAATTTCATTTATCAGCACACCTACAGTTTGTTTGTAAAGGCAAATATCTTTTTTTTATTCCATTCACCAATCAGTGGAATCCTTCCCATTGTTTCTTTGATCTCCCAGTGCTGGTTTTATCCACCAGCAGACCCAGAGCTGGTTTGTACAGACAAATCCCCTCATTCCTCCCATGGGGATGTGCAGAGCTGCCTCCTGCTCCCCTAAATCAGAGGTGGGGGTTGTGTGAGTGCAGGGACAGTGGCAGGACACATGGCAGACCCACGGGGCTGTCACCTGAACACAGCCAAGGAGTTTTTGGCAGCCCGGAGCTGTGCTGGGCTCCTGGGCTGCCCTGTGCTGATGGGACCCTCTGTGGCTGCTTGTGGCTTGTCCCAGCCCCCCGACATGGCAGTGACTGTGCTCTGTGTTCCTTCTTGCAGATGTAAAGCCCTCTAACGTGTTGATCAATACGCAGGGGCAGGTGAAAATGTGCGATTTTGGGATTAGCGGTTACCTCGTCGACTCAGTTGCTAAAACCATGGATGCAGGATGCAAACCCTACATGGCTGTAAGTGGAGAAGCTGCGTGGGGAGCAGCCAGAGGAACGTGAGCCCAGGGGGAAGGATCAGCCCCCTGGGGATCCCTTTGGGAAGACGCAGCCCTGAAGTGAAGGGATCCAACCCCCTTGGGAGGGGAGGCAGATCCCATGGCTCAGATCACATCTCCTGGGCACGGCTTCCTGCTGCCTTCTCGCCTGCCCGTGACCTTGGGGAAGGCTCTGGAGCCCCTGGCCTGTTTGCCCTTTGCACCGTGGGGACAGCAGTGCTCAGCATGGGGAGGAAAAACACTCCCCAGGAGCTGCTGTGCAGGATTCACCCTTTGTGGAGCACCTGGGCAGGGTGAAGGCAGTCCTGGAGAGCTGAGCTTTGTCATCCCCTTTGTGCCAGCTGTGCCAGCTCAGCTCCAGCAGCCCAGCCCCTGTTTCTGGTGGCCCATTTCAGTGCCTGCCCTTACTGCTGAGGATGGGGAGCCAGCCGGGGCCAGCACAGCCAGGAGGGCGAGGTGGTGGTGTGGGCTAAAGGCTGCTGGGCTGCCACCCTGAGAGACCCACCCTGGGTGTGGGCAGAGCTCTGGGGCTGTCCCTGCTCCTCACCCACCTTTGTGTGTGTTGGCAGCCCGAGAGAATTAACCCGGAGCTGAACCAGAAGGGATACAGCGTCAAATCCGACATCTGGAGCCTGGGGATCACCATGGTACGGGCACCTGGCGGCTGCCAGGGCGGCCGGGAGGGCTCGGTGGGGCTCGTGGATTCATTTCCCTGCCCGCAGTGATGCTGGTGGGAGCGGGGAGAGCTCAGCAATGTGCCCCAGGGTGGGAGGGAAGGAGGATGGAGCTGCTGGGAATGTGGAGGCAGCAGCTGCCGGGAGATGGCAGCATGGGCTAAGGCACAGGAGATGATGGAGCAGCTCGGATTCCCGGCAAAAAATCCTCCCAGCACTCGGCAATTCTCCCCTCGGGAGAGCAGGGACGGGGGCGGCTCCCTCGCGGTGTTTTGGGGAACCCATCTGCTCCCCGAGTGGTTTCACAGCGCAGTTCCCCTGTGCAGGGTGGGGCTGGTTTTAATCCCAGCCTTTAATCCCAGGAGATGGGACATGGAGGGGGACAGGACACTGCACCTGGAGCTGCCTGGGTCTCCTCCAGCCTCTCCTGTTGGCTGGGGGAGGACAATTAAATTGTTGTGGCCGTGTGGGGTGAGGAAATCGTAGAATCCCAGAATGGTTTGGGTTGGAAAGAACCTAAAAGATCATCTCATTCCACCCCCTGCCATGGGCAGAGACACCTTCCACTGCTCAGAGCCACATCCAGCCTGGCCTTGGGCACTGCCAGGGATCCAGGGGCAGCCACAGCTTCTCTGGGCACCCTGTTCCGGGGCCCCCCACCCTCACAGGGGAGAATTCCCTCCTAATAACTAATCTATATCTCTCCTCTTTCAGTTCAGAGCCAACCCCCTTGTTTTATCACTGTTTGCCCATATAAAATTCACTCTCCCTCCTTTCTGGAAGCCCCCTTTGGGTACTGCCAGGGGCTCTGAGATCCCTTTGGAGTGTTCCCATCTCCAGGCCGAACAGCCCCCTGCACAAACACACCCTGGGGTGGGCACCGGGTGATCCCAGACCTGTGGGGTGGGCTGGGTGGGCTGGGGGGTGTCCAGCCCCAATGCTGAGGCCCAGGCTGTGTCCCCAGATCGAGCTGGCCATCCTGCGCTTTCCCTACGACTCCTGGGGGACGCCCTTCCAGCAGCTCAAGCAGGTGGTGGAGGAGCCCTCGCCACAGCTCCCAGCAGAGAAATTCTCAGCGGAGTTCGTCGATTTTACCTCGCAATGGTAACAAATCCCCCCCTCCTGCCCTGCCTCCACAGGCAGCTCTCAACCCCCACTTGTGGGCAGAGCGTTGTGCAGGTGCCAGGCACAGCAGTGCTGGTGGCAGCTGTGGGGGCTGTCTGAGCATCTGGGCTGCTTTGAGGGCACACACAGGATTTAGGATTTAGGATTTGAGGATGCTGTGAGCAGGTGCAGCTCGTGTCCCTGAGTCTGGAAGGGCAGCAGGGAATGGGATGGCTGCATCCTCTCTTGTGGGACATGGCTCTGAGGGCAGATTTTATCCCCTCTGGTTGGTGTCTGTCCCTCTCCCGAGGCCCAGGAGCTGGAAGCAGCAGGAGCACTTGGCTGTGCTGTAGGAAAAGGGCTGGAGCAGCCCTGCTGCTGTGTGCAGGCTGCACAGAGAGCTCAGGCAGCTTGCCCCTGTGGCAGGAGCTCCCTCCCACAGCAGGGTTGGATTTTCCAGTGCCACCCACCCGCCTGCCAAGCTGGCAGGTGGCCACTGGCTCTGCCTGGTGGCCACAAAGGACAGCAGATCCACAAAGAGAGAAATGTGAGACTGTTCTTGAGCTGCCAATGCTCTCCCATGACCCAGGAAGGGGATTATCAGCTGCTCCTGCCTGGGCACTCTCAGTACCCATGTTTGGATTCTTCAGAGTCTTGTTCAAACATGTTTTCATGTCCCCCTGGTCCAGCTGCTCGGCTCCTGGCCCACGCTGGGGAATACCTGCCATGCCCCTGGGTCTAGGAGAGGTGGGAGCTGCCTTGGAAAAACCCTCTCACAAGATGCTCCCCGTTCTTGCAAGGCCCACACGGAGGTTTTGGAGCAGCTGCTGTTGCTGCAAACGGTGCTGCTGGCTCTGCTGTTTCCCAGCTGCCTGCTGTGCCTGCAGGCTGTTCCTCTCGGAGGGATTTGCTCTTCCAAGCCCTGTGCCTTGCAGCTCAGGCTGGGGCTGCTTGAGGAGTTACATCCACAGCCACTTTGGGGAGCACGTGGGGATTCCTGCCTTTGCAGATCCTCCAGGGTCACCAAAGATCCCTCGCTGCCAGCAGAGTGGCATGGACTTGGAATGGAGGACTTTGCACCAGTTTTGTGTTTTGGGGGTCTGGGAATTCGTTCTGACTCCAAACCAGGTCCCAGCCACTCTGTATTAATCCTGGCTTAGATCTGTGTTTATCCATCTGCTGCCTGGGGCAGTGAAGTCTGATCATCTATAGGCACTGCAGGAAGGTTTCTGGGATATCTGAGTCAGGATCAGATCCCAATATAACTCTTCATTCCTGAAAATTTACATTGATTTCAGTAACTTATCACCAGATTTCCTGCTATTAGTAACCTGGGGATGAATTTGTTTTGTAGAAGGTCTAAATTAAGAGAATGACACCAAATGTGGCCACAGCTAACCTTCAAATTCACCTTGTCATGTTGGCCGGGGCTGCTCCTGAGGCGGGAGGATGTGACACATCCCGTACCTTCGATATTGGCACGTATGGAGCCCGGGTTCCTCTGTTCATTCACAACATGACACTGAACACGAGCCCTGTACACACAGCAAGCAGGAAATATCTATTCAGTGTGTGTCCTCTGCTTCCTCTGGGCCCCAGCAAATCCCAGCAGAGGTTCTCACTTTTGTTTTGCTCAGTGTGACACCTTTTCCCCGCCACCGCCGCGTACGTGTGTGAAGATCTTTTCAAGTTGCTCCAAGTGTCTTTCCCCTAAATACACTGCCAGGAAGTGAGTAGAGATTACGTCCTGTCTTTTAAAAGCTATTTTCTGCTGGAGGGAAACCAAAATAACTTCCAGCTACAACCCTCCAGGGCCATCTGTTGTAGGAGAGGAGAAAAAAGGATGTGCCATGGAAGCATCCCCGCTGATAACAGCACGGTGATAAACAAACAGTTGTACACGTGCTCTGGAGCCACTCAGGCACTGCTCCCAGGCACAGCTTGGAGGCTGAATCCACTCCTGAGTCACTGGCCTGTTGGAGAGCACCCAGACTCCCACTTGTACCTGGCCCCCAGCAAGAGGCAGGGTTTTGAGTGGTGTTTTTGGTGGCTCCGGATCTCTTGGTGGACCTTGAGCTCTTGTGCCCAGCACTGTTGGCTGTCACTGTCCTCAAGGCTTAAATTGTTTCCTCAGCTTGGATGAGTAGCTGAACTCACTCTGCAAAGTCTTTAAACCTTACTGTTGTCATGGCATAATTTTATGGCCTTACTTAAACTGCAGACAGAAGATAAGTTCTAATTTTTTCTTTTTTTTTCCTCCCCATTAAAGCTTGAAGAAGAATTCCAAAGAACGGCCAACATACCCAGAGCTTATGGTGAGTGTGGCTGCATCCAGCAGTGTGTTCAGAGCTGAAATGGGTCACACTGAGGTGCTGAAGGCAGAGATTCCAGTAGTGATGGTGTTTTGGGATGCTTTGCATCTCTTTTTTTCATACCAGATGGGAGAATTGTGACACTTCAGAGTCCTGGGAGGGTGGCTGCAAGTCAGAGATGCTCTTTGAAATCTCAGCCAGGTGTTTTTCCATTCAGATCAAGGGAGAAAATACACGTTAAAGCAAGTAATGGACAAGAATGAGGCTGTGAAGGATCAGTTAGCAAGGCTCAAATCCTCCTCTGGGGTTTGTGAGATCAATTCAAACACCTCAGTGTGCCACAAATGCTCCTCAAGAGCTGCAGGAGCCCAGTGGCCACCTGAGCTTTGCTGCCCTGGTGCCTTGGAGAGGAGGATTTTTGGACAGAGCAATTCCTGGATGTTGGGGACAGACACTAATAATTCTGGTTATTGAATTTCTTCTGCTGCCTAGAGACTGCTTGCTGGGAGGGATAACTGAGGAGTAGCTAGGGAGGAAAATGCCAACAAAGGTTGGTGACAGGAGAAATGGAGGGCACTGCTCTGTGCCTAGCCAGAGCTCTGGGCTGCAGCTGGCAAAACCAGATTTTTCTGCTTGGGCTCCACAGCTTCATGGCCTCTCTCTCTCTCTCTCCTGACTTTCTGGTATTGCTCCTGGTGCTGCTAAAAGCTGGCAAAAAGCAGCAGAGCTCGGGAAGTTGGTGTTTCTTTCACTCCTGCAGACATTTAATCCTTTTTTACTCTCACACAGTTTGAAGCTTTCTAAAGGCAGGAAGGTTTTATTTGTTATTTCTGAAAATCCTGACCCTGCATCCCCACCCCTGTCCAGTCTCAGTGTTAAGATCACCTGGATTAAGGGTGGAAACTGCTGCAGGATTTCTTTAGGCACTGGTATTCCCTAGCCCACAATTTTTGGGATATAAATTCTGCCATCACCACCTCACACCTTCTGCTCACAGGTGAGAAGGTGACAGGTTTAAGCTGATTTTTACCTGCAAGTCATGCTGGAAATCCACGGCCCTGAGTTGTAAGCAGTGAATAATTCCCATGACATTTGGTGCTGGGCCCTGTAATGCAATTAAACTATAAATAGATCTGATTGACACACAGCTTGCCCCTAGACTGGTTTCAAACAAAGAGAGGCCTGAGATTTATGGCTTTTTTTTTTTAAAAACTTTTTTTTTTTGGTGGGGGGGGGAGTATATTATTGAATAAATCCATGTGTATATTTTAAGCAAATTTCTGAACTTTGCCAAATGGCCTTTTATCAAAAAAGGTTCAGTGAAGCAGCTCCGTGTGCTGCAGCATTAATACCCATTGGCAAGGGAGTGCATTTCTATTGAATTAACTTCTTGGATCACCCCTGCAGAGTATCTCAATGCTGTGGTATTTTATGGCTGACATGGATGTTGTGAGGTCCTGTGGTTGAGGGTTGCTGTTTTGTTGGGGTTTTTTTTCCTCTCCCTTATGACATTAAGTTGTGGTGCTGGATTGGACTTGTCATTCAGACCAAGACTGCTCCCTTGCTTTCCTGTGGAATTGAGGTTTCTCATGGAAAATATGACTCTGTGCTATCTTGAGCATCAGGAAAGCTGATAGGGGTGCTTAATTTCATTTAAAAACCCACTTCCCCAGGTGAAGTGGAGCGTGAAAGTGCTGTGGGAGCAGTGGTGTGCACATCCCCCAGCTCTGTGCCAGCTCAGAGGGCTTGGCTTCCCTGGGCCACGGGGCTGGAGGGCACTGCTGCCACCCCTGGCACATTTTTGGGTGCTTCCAGGCTTGGGGTGTCACTTCAGTGGGATGTGAAAGCAGGGACATTGTGCTGGGACAACGATGGGGTCAGCTCGGAGTTATCCAGGACACTTCAATTCCTGTGACTGTCTGACCTAGGCAGACCTTCAGTTTTGCCTGGATCTTTGCCTCAACCCATTCCAGCCCTGTTTCCCACATAATTGTGCTTCCTTTTCCTTACTGGTGTGTCTTTGGATCGTTTCCCGGCCACTCAGAGCTGCCTCCTCTCATTCCCTGGGTGACTTTCCACTCAAACCCACCTTGAAAAATCTCTTTTCTTTGCTTTTCTTCTCCCTCCACTTGGCCACTGCCATTAAAAGGTCATTGAAACAGCCAGTGCTCAGAGACTGAGGTGAGGGGCAGCTTGGAAAAACCCTGGAAACCCCAAATTGTCTTTAAAAATCTGACTAGAAAGGAGAGAGCTGGAAATCAAACCCTTGTGCAGAGCTGAGATCACTGTGAGCCCTGCAGGGCCCTGGCTGCCTTTTGGTTCTTTCTGACACCTTCCATACAAATAAATCCAATTATCTGCCAGGACAGTGGGTGTCAGACAGGGTTTTGGGGGTTTTCAGGTGGGATCTCAGCCTGGTGTGTTGCTGAACCAACCAAACCGAATTGCTGGTCCTGGAGGAGAAAGGTTTTTGTTGCTCTTGGGGGGTTTGGTTTTGTTTTTTTTCTCCTTGCCTGTATTTTTCCCTTGGTGCTGAAATGTCGGCAGGGTTTTCTGGCAGGGTTTTCTGTCTCCCCCTTGTTGGTCAGGATGAAGTGGTTAAACACACAAGTGGGGATGGTTTTCCAGTTGGGATGGCTTTCCTGTGTGCTGGCTGGGCTGAAGGAGCCACTCCTGCTGCGAGGGAACAAATGAGACTCAGGAGTCACCAGAGGGTGAAAATCCACACATAAAGCTGGGGGAAAATCACTGCAGTCAGCAAGGCACCCCCTGCTCCAGCTGGACTGTGTGGGGTGGGTAACCGTGCTCTGGGGGTGTTAGGGGGCAGATGGAGAGGGTTTTCTAAACCTTGCCCTTGCCTCCAGAGCTCATTCCTCCAGCCAGGGCAGGGTTTAGGGGAATCCAGGAGGGCAGCACAGTTCCATGGAGCAGCCCTTGTGCTGCCCCACTTGCCTCAGCTGTAAAAGCCCAATATTATGATGCTAAGGAGAAAACCTCCTTCTCTGTCTGCAGGATTGTCTGAAAAGCTTTTTGCTCAGCGTGGTGAATAATAAACTTAGCTGTTTTTTTTTTTTTTTTTTTTTTTTTTTTTTTTTTTTTTTGCTTTCCCAGCAACATCCTTTCTTCACCCTGCACGAATCCAAAGAGACAGACGTCGCCTCTTTTGTCAAGCTCATCCTGGGAGACTGAGAACTGGACTTGTAAAAGAATTGCCCTTCTGTGGACTGGTGGGTGCAGGGGAGGGGCTCGTGGCAGGACTTGTCATGGAAGCACCAACAGAAAGTCGCCGTGTTTTGTTTTGTTTTGTTTTTATTCTGAGAAACCCCCGCCTCGCCCGAGTTTTTTTAAAGGGTTCTTTGGTATCCATAGTGACATAGAACGAGCTGGTTAGTGGAATGAATTTTAATAAGGTTGGTAACCTTAAAACAAAAACAAAACAAGAAAAAAAAAATCTTTTTTTGAAAGAGTGATTTACATATTTAATGACAGTCAAAGTTCCTCTTCCTAACTTGCTCCTCATCCCCCTTCCCTTCCCCTTGAACCAGAATTTGCTTTGTCATGGTAATAGGTGCTATGGTAGTCATGAAGTTGTATGTAGATTTATATTTTGTCCCTTCCATTATTTTAATATTTATGTTAAGTGCTTGATGGAATAGATTTCTGTTTTATATGAGGATGAGTGCGTGGTGATGATGATGATGATGATGCAAAATGAGGCCACAGCGAGCAGCACTTGCAGGGCTTCACTGGGGAAAAGGTGTCCGAGGAGAGGAGAGCAGAAAGTGTCTCTGTTGTGGAATATATTTAATGTGCATCATAAAAGGAATTGATAAGCAAGACTTTGCAGCTCAGCTGCTCGAGCTGGGTCAGGGAGGGAGGCCCTAGTGTCCCTGTGGTCACCTCTTGTCTGGACACCCTGCTCTGAGTCCAGCCCTGTCCCACAGCCCTGCTCTGCTCTGGGAATTGCTGGGGACACGTCTGGGACAAAAGGCCCAGAGGGAAGGAGGTGTCACAGGAGTTGCACAAAGAAGAGGAGGAGGCTGCCCTGGTCAGTGCCCCTGCCCAGCAGTGCTGCAGTGCCCGAGGCTCCCTTGGGCTGGGGATGAGCTGCTTTGGGCTCTAAGGGAGTTCCTCTCTCCTTCTCGGGGTGAGACAGGATCACAGGATACACAGCATGAAAAATGGGATGGTTTGGTGTTGGTTTCCAGGGCTGGTGGCACTGCCCTGGCAGCAATCCCTCCGTGCTTGCCCACAGAGTGTGGGAGTGCCAGGGCTCCAGGAGCCCGTGCTGGCATGAGGACTGGGCTGAGGACTGGGCTGAGGACTGGGCTGTGGACTGGGCTGAGGACTGGGCTGAGGACTGGGATGTGCATTGGGATGTGCACTGGGCTGTGTCCAGCCCCAGCTGGGATGTGCAGGCAGCCAGGAGCTCTGCCCTGGGCTGCAGGTAGGAGCTGCAGCCTGGGAAACCATGCAGGGACACCACAGCCCACCCTGACCAGGAGCAGGAGAAGGGGCTGGTGAGGTGGGAGAGGAGCTGGAGATCGTTCTGCCCTCGGGTCAGTCACTGTGTGGAGCAGGGGGCACTGTGAGTGTTGCTGAGCTCTGCTCTGTGAGGCCACTGGCTCCACATTAACCCTGGTTTGAGCCCCAGCTGCCTGGCCTGGCCATGAGCTGCCCGTGGCTCCTTCCCCCAGCCCTGGAACGGGGCCTGCCTGTGCATTCTGGGGATGCTGCACAAGTGCCTGTGCCCCTGCATGTGCTTCCATCCCCACCCCTGCTTGGGCACAGCCCCTGGGAGCCACGTCTGACCAGAAACACACCCTGCTCTGCAG